AAGCAGGCTGGTCCCCTCCGCGGGGGACCCCAGCCCAGCTGCAGCAGCCTCTGCGTGCATCTCCTGGGAGCCTCTGGGGCTGAAGGCCTGAATTTAAAGCCGATGCTTTTTTTTTAACCAAAAACATTTGCTTTTGAATGAAAAAGGGAAGATTTCCACCCCCACCACCACACGTTTCGCGTAAAATGCTGGATGTAAATACAAGCGCGGTTTCTCACCGAGAGCAGAGGTAGGAGCGGGGGCTTGCCATCGGTACTGCCTCTAACACCCCTTAACGCACCTTTATCGGGGCATTTTTTTTTCCCCTCTGGATGAGCGACTGTCCCCTGCACTCACCCGTTACCGGCGATTCCCCAGACACTCGTGTTTGATGGTATTTCATCCCATCGCTCAGGATTTACACCCTCTTACACAGCCCCTCTGCAGCGTTCCTGCGAGCGTCCTTCCGAGGCTGGTTTGCCCCTTCCCTTAGCTGAGCTACCGAGGCACTTTAAAGAAACACCAGTTCCTACCCACCCTGGTGCAGGCAGTGTTATAAATAGCTCAGCTGATTTCTTTTCCCTCCAAAATCAGGCCCTCCATCTCCTTTAATCTTTTTTTTTTTTTCCTGCCGTTCTCTGAATTCCCTCTAATTTTTCGACATCTGCTCGGAGAGGAGTGCCATTTCTGACAGGCTCCTATAAATGGAAAATAGGGCTAGTAACGTGCCTGGCGTTGCGCCGTGCAGCACAAGCCGGGGATAGGAAACCGTGCACGCCTCTGCGTGCTGTCACCTCTTTGAGCCCGAGCGAGACGCCTGGTCCCTGCTCCCGGAGCCGACCTGTCCCTTGTTTTCAAGTGCTGACAAGTTGTCTTTGCTCTAATAAGTGCTTGATTTATATAAATTGGCGGCTTTGGAGTAGCCGAGGGAGCGGATAGGACCTGTTCTCCCAGAGCGAGCGAAGGTGGTGGAGGGGCTGCGGCGGTGCTGTTGCAGGTCCCGCAGATCCCCCATGACTGATGCAACCAAAAATTGGTTTTAAATGGTTTTTTACCCACCCTGGCTCCAGCACTCTCTCCGCTCCACACTCACACAGGGTTGGAGGAGTGGACAAGCACGTTACAGCCCCATCCCCTTGGCAGATATCCCAGTTCAGCTTTTTTAGGAGGAGCAGGGATGCTCCGAGCAGGAGCTGCAGCAAACTGCTGGGAGAGGAGGCGCAAACTGCTCCCGTTTTTGGCGCAAATGTGGCCGGTGGGAAAGGCTGGGGCATCAGACCTGCCAATTAAACCACCCCAGTGCCAAGAACGGTGCCACCTGAGGCTTAAAATTAAGATGTTGACTCTTTGAGGTTGTTAAAGTGGCTGGCATCTTCCATGGGAGCTTCTCAGTGGTCTGGACGTCAGTTCCCGAAGATCCTCCATCCGTCTCTCCCTCCGCCGTCTCCTCGAACTGGAAACGGTTCAGGGAAGGGACTGTCCCTCCCGTACCGCAGCACATTTATACAGCAGGCTGCTGGTCCCCGCTGGCCTGATACAAAGGATTAATAACGTCTGATAGTGTCTGGACCAAACTCAGCAGGCAGGATTACACGCTGCCTCCCCAGTCTCCTCCCTGGAGATGCAACTGGAGGCAGTTATCTGTCACTTCTTGCCAGGGAAGGAGGCTGGAAGCACTGAAAAGCAGCTTGTGTCACTTCCAAGGATCCTGGGGACACGGAAAGGTGTCTGCAGAGTGGGAGGTTACCTGGAGCCACCACCCAAGCCATGCTCCCCTCTCCAGCATTCATCACCTCCCCTTTTTTCACCAAAATGGGTCAAAATCACCATCCCTGGGGGATGGACGCACTTCCATCCCTGGAAAACTCACTCCAGCGACTTCTGGACTAGTCCATCCCTGTGGACTCCAGGATCAGCCCAGGAAGAGAAGCAACTTGGGGCTTTGGCCCAGAAAGAGTTAAAAATCAATCACATTAATTAAGCTATCTCTGATCTAAAATATACTCAATACCCACAAAGCGGATATAACGTCGAGCGCTGCGCAGAGGCGCAGGCAGGCTTAATTGTTTGTAATGCTCTCTAAGATGCTTGGAGGAGAGGCGCCGACGGAGTGAAAAGCAGAATTATGGTGATCTATACGTTGCATAATAAAATACATAAGTATTCCCAAATAATGCAAGTAATCCAGTTAGTGTTCGCATGACTTTGTCACATACTAAATTTAACAGCTGTCTCCTTTATACATGCCTGCTGCTTGTAGCGTGCGCTGAATCTTAATTCCCCAGTTAATTGCTTGAGTTTATTTCCTTGTAAAGCGTGTCTTTGTCCACGACACATAGACTCCAATCACTCTTCTCCTGCCATAAGTGCTGCCATAAATCTCTCCCAGACAGAGATGCCATCCTGGAAGCCACAGTCAAAATAAGGCTGGATCCTTCCCTATATTCATCAGGCTGGGGATGCTCAGAGGTGGGAGGAATTAAACAGATCCTTTTGCATCGCTCCTTCGTTACCTCCCGTGGTGTCGTCCATCCCATAATGAGCCCACCACTTGCAAGAGCTTGGTGCCCCTCTCGTCTTGTCTGAGCTGACTAGAAGTTGCACATCAGCTTGAAGATGCTCATCTGGGTTTCTTCTGCCATCGATGGACGAGCAGGGGAGAAGGAGCGACGCGTCCCGGGGTGATGGGGATGGCCGGAGCTCTCTGAACATCAGCACGTGCAAGCGCAGAGGGACTTCTGAGGATGGTTGCAACCTCTAAATCTCACTTTATTGCACTCGGCCATCCAAGCTGAACTGGGAGAGGGCGTTTTGGCAAGGATGGGGCTGGTAAGAGCCAGAGGGGTGTTGGTGGGGGGTAGTTTATACCTCTTGAGACCCAAGGGTCCAGTTTGGGTTGGGGCAGGGAGTCCACGCTGGGAATGGCTTGGGATATTTTATTTATTAATTTTTTGCCCAGCTGACTCACTCTTCTCGGAGGATGACCGGGCGAGTGGTCAAACTGGCAAGAGGAGCTGGCAGGAGGCAGGGAAAAATCACAACCAAACAGATTTCTGTAAATCTTTGCAGATCTCTCGTGATTTGGCCAGGAGTGACAGGAGAAGGGATAATACCTGTGAGTGGCTCGTAATGCCAAGTTTATCAGCTCCAGCTAATCTGTAAGAAGCTGGAATAAACTGATTTGAAAGGAAGAACTTGGCTTTTTATGAACGCCAACAGCGATTCTGGCCTGGCTTTGTATGCGCGAGGAGCTTCTGCTGCAAATCTGATGCTTGGGGCCGGTTTAGCCAAAAAGGGATGAACTCTCAGCAAAATCTGTGGCACCTGATGGTCTCAGGAAGCAAGATTAAAACCAGGCAAGGCTTGAGTGGTGTTTAGGTTAATGGACTGCTTTGGCAGGAGAACAAGTGGGACAAACTTAAAAATTAGGCTGGAAATTAGAATAAGCTTACAGACCACCAGAAACACTGCTGAATGGAGACGGGTCTGTTGGGGAGTCGTAAGCACGATGCCTGTAATTGCAGGGACGGCACCCGGTGCCACAAGAAACCTGTTTCTTTTCCGAGTCCTTCACCTCCATCCAACCTTCTCTGAACGCAGTGGTAGTGCAAAGGGCGAGCTGGAGCCAGATGAGGGACTCATCACCCCTGTTCCTTTTTTTCTTGCATTCCTGTATGAAAAATGGGCTCTTCTTTGATAAAAATAGGTAACAGACTCTTTGAACAAAAGTATGTCTGGGGCCCAAGGAAGCTGGGTGCTGGACGCAGGGGGAAATCCGCATTGTTTGTGGTTTAAATGCGAAAAAGCATCATATGGGCAAGATTTCTGGAAAAGAAGGTCTGTTTTCCAAAATTCACGTGGCAGCTCTTGCTGGGGATTTCCGTTCTTTTGCAAGCAAACTCCTTGTTTCTCCGACATCCCGGTGAACTCAAAGCTCGGCTGAGGGATGCCTTGCTCAGTGGGATTTAGGCTTGACAGGGAAGTACAAAAATGCTGCTTTATTGCTCGTGTTTGTCGGGATCCTGCTGCAGGGATGGAGATCCCCAGCCCTCCTCCATCCCATGCCGAGAGCTGATGGAAACCTCTCCTGGGCTCTCCAGACAGTCCCAACAGGAGCACACACGAGATTGCAACAAGCCCTAAACCCTTTGCTCAGTACCGAGCTGACTTCAACAGGACTATTAGGGTTTAATCTTTTCTACCTTGTTTGTATACATATAAATCAACCCTCTTGCAAGGGAGCTCAAAAAATTAAGCTCCTGGTAACTCCAAAGGGGTTTGCTGTCTTCTCCCCCTTGCTTTGCATTTGCTTAGCTCAAACGGAGGGCAGACAGACTGATCTAACTGTCCAGAGCTTAGAAATGAAGTAAGAAAACTGAGATCAACAGAAAATCATTAAAACTATCATTAAAGCCTTTTTCCGTGCTGCTTTTTTAACTCCTCCTACTGTATAAAAGAGGAAAACCCTGCAGTCCGTATTTTCATGGAAAACATGCCAACCCACCACGTGCCGTCTTCGCTGAAGGCTTTACTTGAGCAGACGAGCGCTGCTGGCTCGCAGGCACTCGAAGAGGCGGGGATGGAGTTAACCAGCCGTGAGCTCATCCTGGGCCATAATGAACAGCCTCAAGTTCTCCTAAGGGGCCAGGCTGGCTCCATTGGATTCACTTTGTCTCTCAGGTCAATATGTAATCAGGCAGCTTTTTGGTTTTTTTTTTAATGCAT